AAACTCTAACACATTCCCACAGAGCAGTTTCTGATTCATATCATCCCCACTCCAACCCAATGAATAAATGACATGCTACAATTCCTTTTAAATGGATCAATTTCTACTTTGTTTTATAATTTTTAATTGATTTATAGAGAGAGAGAAGGAAAGAGAGTTGGAAACATCTATGTGAGAGAAACATCATTGATCGACTGCCTCCTACACGCCCCCTACTGGTGATCGAGCCTGTAACCCAGACATGTGCCCTGACTGGGAATGGAACCATGACCTCCTGGTGCTTAGGTAGATGCTTAATCACTGAACCACCCCAGCCAGGCTGTTTGTTTTTTAAAAGATGGTGTGTCATTCCATTGAGATTAGAAAGGCTCTTGAAGCACATTCTCTCTCTCTCTCTCTCTCTCTCTCTCTCTCTCTCTCTCTCTCTCTCTCTCTCTCTCTCCCTCTCTCCGTCTCTTTTCAATTACTCTCACAGACCCTGGTAAAGTTGTGATTAAATAGCAGGCAGTTAAAATAATTAATACTTCTCAGGAATATGAATTTGGTATTGGTGAACTATTAAGCCACTCATTAAATTCATACAGAATCCCTCAGAATTTAAATGCACTTAATTTCCAACTCTTTATGATTCTATGACTGGTTTAGAAATGGGAACATTTAATTACCTAGCAGCTGTTACCTATTAATTGACAGCATCATGGTCCAGTGAACCTAGCTCTGTGACATTCAGAACCACACAGGGTTGCTGGATTCAGCATGTACATGAGCTATACACACCTAGCCTTCCAGATAGATCTCTGATGTGGACATTGTCTGTAGCTGAAAAGCTCATGCTTCTCTCTAAAAATCTAGAAGTGGTCCTTTTGTTCCTGTGTCTACCCCATTAAACATCTCCTCTGAACTACATCTTCCCACAGCCTCTCCCTCTTCTGCCAAGTCAAAGGACCAGATTAATTTACAGCTTACCTTCAAGGATTTCTGTTGCTGTGTAACTGAGAGGTTAACATGATAGGGGTGATTCTGATTAACTGCCATTCCCCTCACTCTGCTCAGGCTTGGTGCTGCTCTAGAACATGGGCGAGGCAGACAACAGTGTACTATGTACTACTGTCTTTTCACTGGGAATGTTCTTTCCCCCTATTTCTTCCTTAAACACAGGATACTGCTTTATATTTCCTTCACAACCCCAGGTATCTAATACACAAGACACGGATACTTGTTAAATCCAACTCTTTTGGAGACAGTTTACATATATCCAATGTCAAGTATATTATGCTCCTAGTTTTGTGGTCTAGAAATATTTTTCCTTGTAGAAAACTTAACACACACCACACTCTATGACAGTGATGGCGAACCGATGACACGCGTGTCAGAGGTGACACACGAACTCATTTTTTTGGTTGATTTTTCTTTGTTAAATGGCATTTAAATATTTAAAATAAATATCAAAAATATAAATCTTTGTTTTACTATGGTTGCAAATATCAAAAAATTTCTATATGTGACATGGCACCAGAGTTAAGTTAGGGTTTTTCAAAATGCTGACACGCCAAGCTCAAAAGGTTCGCCATCACTGCTCTATAATGTCCACAATACGTGCATGTAGGGAACCAGGGTTGGGTAGCTGGTTGTTTTGACCACTGTCCCAAGAGTGGCAGAGCCTGGGTTTCAGTCTCTATGGGGCATCAGCTTAAATCCCCTTATTGATTGTCACATTCCCTAAATGCCACTTTGTGCAGCTGGTTATGGGGAAGTGAGGGAGAGAGAATGAGGCTGCCTGCAGTAGAAATCTATACCAGATACACTAGGAAAACAGTGCCAGAGCAGCTGGGCCATCCTCATAAAGGCAGCGTTAAGTAAATAGTAGCCCTGGAAAAATATAATTGACTCCATTTTCATTTATAGTCTAGATAATAAAATATAAATAAAGAGATAGATAAGCAAATAAATTTCTGTGGTAACCAACGACTTCAGCATTTTAACTTCTGTGCCAGCCTAGTGAATGCAATGAATGCAATGAATGGGCTGGGCTAAGTATTCCCAAGCTCTGGGTTTCACAGGGAGTGTCTCATGCTTCATGTATAAAATACTTAAGGAATATGTGAAATTTGTTTTTTTACCTTTGGCTACATGTTCAAGGGTGGGAGTGGGTAGGGGAGAGAAAACTTGGTCCTAAAGATTTACTTACGAGAATTTAATTTAGCCTAACAATAGATCATCCCATATTTAGCATACTGCATTCTAGGCATATTCTTAGAGGACTCTGGGTAATATACAATCAGCTGACACTTCCTGTAAATTATTCCAGGAGGTACAATCATCAACACTTTACAAATGTGCACTTAAATCAACATGACATCAAGATTTCTGGGCTATAATTCTGGGGAAGTGATTGTGATATTAACTGAAAGAGAATAGAAGGGAATTTTGATGTGGAAGGAGATGATGGTAGATATTCAATTTTGAACATGATAAGTTAGAAATGTAAGGCCATCACAAAGGTGGGGTCTAGAACTCAGGAGAAAAGTCTGAATACAACTTGGGAATCATGGGAGTAGGAGGAGGGGAATGCAAGGAAAAAAGGTGAGGCTTTCCTGAGAGGATAGGTAGACAGAGAAGAGAGTTAGGGTCAGAGCCTTAGACCATGGGCCTGGGACCCTAGTCCTCCCACGAAACTGGGACCGGAGTTCTGAGAGGTAGGAGAAGGAGACAATCTAACATTGCTGTAATTTGATATTTTCCTTTTTCCTAAGAGACTACTTAGAATATTAGGTTACAATGGAGATATACATGAAGTTTGACAAGTCTATAATCACAGGTCTACAGCCTCACTTACAAGTTCTTTGTGTGGTTGAAACAGTCCCTCAGAAAATATATGGCATAGAATTTAACCAGTTAACTGCCACAATATTTTGAATTTAATTTAAAAAGGTCAGCTGCTTGAGTCTATAGACGCTTATGGAGTACAATTGGTTAACAAGTAAATTCCTTTAAATTGCAAAAAAGAGAGGGGGGGAGAAGGTAGGGGTGCTAATCAGTGAAAGAGTAGGGAAAAGATGAGAGCATAAAGAATATCAGCCCCTACCTTTGGCAACTCCCTTGAGAATGGGCAACGAACTCAACTAGGTAAGAGGAAGAAATAAAGACAAATGGCCATGGAAGCAAATCAACTTGTGGAGTCAGCGTTTTAGTTCATTTCCCATCAGAAATCAGCTTGAAAAGTGACATGTTAAATGCTGTTTCCACAAATAAAAAAATAATTTAATTTTAAAAAATTAAGAGGGCAGAAGGAACCTTTCCGAGGTGATGGGTAGTTATGCCCTTGATTGTAGTGATGGCTTCCCAAGTGCATGCTTAACTCCAAACTCATCAATTTTTGCACATTGAATGTGTACAGCTGTTTACATGTCAATCATGACTCAATAAAAAGGATTTTTTTTAAAGTCATTAACTTGAGGGACAGTACGGTGTTGTGGACAAAATCATGGTTTCCAAACGCAGGTGGACTAAAGAGATTACCTGTAATGAGTTCTAAAGTTCAATACTCTCACTCTTATGATGGGGAGAATATCCTATCACATGCAGTAATATATGATTATCAGAGGAATTAAATGACTACTAGCAGCGGTCGCCAACCTTTCGGACCTCACGGACCACCAGTGGTCCGCAGACCACCGGTTGGTGACTGCTGGAAGTACAGACAGGGCTGAGTATGCCTGCAAAGTGCTAGATAATAAAAGAATAATGAAGTCACTCCGTTGTCATTTGTAATACTTTTAATAAACATATATGGACTAATTAGTGAAAATGACTGGTATTTGGGAATAGCACTTCTAACAGAGGAAACTGCATTCCCATTTAAATTTTCTCCACATATAGTTCCTTTCTGTCTCTTTAACTCTCCCAGTCAGTCAGTGTCTCCATTTCTTCTCCTCTCCTCTCTCTCTCTCTCTCTCTCTCTCTCGCACGTGCCTTTCTCCCTCTCTTTTTCTTTTACATGATATGACTCACAGAGAGTTGAATTAAAAGCTCTAAAATAAAATATGGAACAAATTTCCCCATAAGATAGAAAAAAATTGAACACATTTTACATTCATTCAGTATATTACAATGACACATTGTACACAAAAATGTCATATCCCAGAAAAAAAAATAAAGCATCAAAGATACTAAATTTACACAAATATGCAACTTTTATAAAGTTAAAAATCCTGAATTGCTTCTAAATGACATGCTATAAACCTTATCATGTCATCCTCTGAAATAGTGTATTTGACTATTTATACTCAGTAAGCCAATAAAAGTAATTGGAAGTAAGTTGTTGTTTTTAATTTACAAAAATACACAATCTGAAAAAAAATTTTTAAATAATTACTTAAATGAAAAGGATTTTTTCTGTGGCAATATTATTTTACTGTCTCAATTATATAAATGTGTACCTATAACTATTTGAGTAGCTTCAAGATAAATGAAAATATAACTACCATGACTAAATGTAAACTTTTTCCTAAATACAGTTCTAGAGAAGTAAACATATGCAAGACAGGTTATAATGCCTCCAAAGAGATTGCTTACATTTTCAATGAAATTTAATTTCTTAAATTTACAAGAAATTAATACTTTCCCTCTGATACAGAAGATATATCAGCATTAATGTGAGAGTTTCCAAGGTTGATAAAAGACTCAAAAGAAGAAATAGAAGTGGCTATTATTTCATATGTGGGTCAGTTTCAAGTACAGCATAAATATCCCATCTGTTATGAATTTGTCCTTCACAAATTGATATATTGAAGTTCTAACCCAATGTGATGATATTAGAAGTTGGGGCCTTGGGAGGTAATTGGGGTCAGATGAAATCGTGAGGATGAACCTCCATGATCACATTAGTACCTTTACAAGAAGAGAAAGAGAGACCAGAGCTTGCTCTCTTCACCATGTGGGATACAGTGAGAAGGCAGTCATCTTCAAAGTCAAAAAAGTGCTGTTAAGAACCAAACCTTGTGCTCACTTCAGCGGCACATATAGTAAAATTGGAAGGATACAGAGAAGATTAGCATGGCCCCTGCACAAGGATGACACCCAAGTTCATGAAGCATTTCAAATTTTAAAAAAAGAAAAAGAACCAAATCCGGTGGCATGTTGATCTTGGGCTATCCAACCTCCAGAACTGTGAGAAATAAATGTCTGTTGCTTAAGCCACCCAGTCTATAGTGCTTTTTATGGCAGCCAAAGACTTCTCTTCGGACAAACATTTTAATTTACATTGCAATAATGTACTTAAAATTTTAATGATTAGAAATTCAAACTCTTTTGCTGAATTAAAAAAAAAAGTCATTCAACTATTTCATCATTGATGCTAATGTTGACCTTAATTTTGAACACAATTTTGCTTCCATTAGTTTATAAAACTATATCCTGGGAGTAATAAAACTATATAAATTGTCTTTCTGAGGCATTCTTTTCTAATAATCTTCAGAATATTTTGTGTTACTTTTTTTTAAAATATATTTTATTGATTTTTCACAGAGAGGAAGGGAGAGAGATAGAGAGTTAGAAACATCGATGAGAGAGAAACATCGATCAGCTGCCTCCTGCACATCTCCTACTGGGGATGTGCCCGCAACCCAGGTACATGCCCTTGACCGGAATAGAACCTGGGACCCTTTAGTCTGCAGGCCGACGCTCTATCCACTGAGCCAAACCGGTTTTGGCATTTTGTGTTACTTCTATCATAAAGAATACACAATGTAGTGTATAAGAAGAATTTAGTATAGTAATTAGCAAGAGTACAAAGTATAGTGTGTGTGTGTGTGTGTGTGTGTGTGTGTGTGTGTGGTTTTTCTCCTGCTTCCTATGGTTCTTATTATTTTGAATTACTTTATGTTGGTGGTTACACCAAACAAAATGTGGACCCTTTCTGTCCCGTTCTTTCTCTTCATTGCAATTCAAAAAACAAAGACGCATACATAAAGTAATTTCTTCAATAAAACCCAACTCAAAGTTAATCATGACTTCACTGTTTTCCCAAATATTATAATATTTTAGGAAATATTATAGCAGTGGTTCTCAACCTTCTGGCCCTTCAAATACAGTTCCTCATGTTATGACCCAACCATAAAATTATTTTCGTTGCTACTTCATAACTATAATGTTGCTACTGTTATGAATCATAATGTAAATATCTTGATATGCAGGATGGTCTTGGGCGACCCCTGTGAAAGGGTCATTTGACCGCCAAAGGGGTCGCGACCCACAGGTTGAGAACCGCTGCATTATAGCATTACTTATATATAATAGTTTCTTCTTGGTCTCTAGATTTATTATTCTACTCTTTTAATTTCTTTTTAGCTTTAACTTAGGCATTATTTTGCCCTGTAAATATTTTACATAAGAGATGTTATAAATTCGCAAGTAATGTTTTTATTGTTTCATTACTTTTAAATCAATATAAGTCTCCAATCTGCCTGCATTCTAACCTAGATTTGGTCGCACAACTACTGCCTCATGGCCTTGAACAAACATCTTCCTTTCTAATACCACTGGAAGGTACTGGGATGAGCCGTAGGATGTGTTGAACCCGACTGACAGTGTCCCTGCCCCTCCATGTGCTTATAGCTTCACAGAGCAGATGGCCATTCGATGAAAAGTTTCAAGTGAGAAGAGAATGATAAAATGAGAGGTAAGAGGGCTCTGGGACAATTCCTTCATGTGCAAAATAAGAGCATTGGACTATCAGGGGTGAGGAACCTTTTCTCTGCCAAGGATATTTATAACATCATTCGAGGGCCATACAATATTATCAACTTAAAAATTAGCCTGCTATATTTGGTCAAATATATAATTAACTCACCCCTAATGCCTTGGCAGGGCCAGACCGAATGATTACGCAGGCCTTATACACCCAAGGGCAAGAAGTTCCCCACCCCTGGACTAAATGATCTGTAGGTATTTTCCCACTCAGAGATTCTCTGCCACTGTCATTGTATTTTTAAATTTTTTTTTCAGAACTTCCCAGTGTATTCTAGTTTGACTAACCAGCCCACACAAAACCATGAAAAAGACTTTAGTCTTCTTACTATAGCTATTATTGTATGTAATGTGCTTAGTTTTCTTAGTTATAGAACAGTGATCCCTATTTGAAAGTTTCAGAACCATGTATTTTACTAAATTTATTATTTTCCAGATTGAACAGATTACAAAATATAAGTAGCTCAGCAAGAGTTTTGCTACTAAATGAATTACCAAAACAAAACCCCAAAACAACAGTTTTCAGAGAGTTGACTTTGAAATGTGGTTAATGGATTGTGGAGCTCTTTGCATGCCTGTTTTGGATTAATTCAATCACTAGTTTTAGGGCCAACCAAGATAAATTAATTTCTAATTGCTTCCTAACAGCCTTATATATTTATACCTACAGCTGAAAAGTTTCTCACACATTAGAACTTTGGAAATTAGGTCCGGCACTAGAGATTGAGAAGTGTAGAGGATCTACCTAAAACATAGTCACAAACCCAGACAACCAAAATGAGGAGACAAAGTAACAAACCTCAAATGAAAGAACTAGAGATATCTCCAGAAGAAGAGATAAATGAAGCAGAGATAAAAAGTTATCTGAAACAGAGTTCAGAGTAATGATAGTAAAAATGCTCAATAGTAAGAAAAAAGATATAGTAACTATGAAAAAAGAACAGTCTGAGATAAAGAACGACATAACACAAATAAAGAACACATTGAAAGGAACACACAGCAGGTTAGGGGAAGCTGAGGATCGAATTAGTGAATTAGAAGACAGAGTTGAAAATATCACTCAGAGAACCAAAAAGAAAAATCAATTAAAAAAACAGGAGGACAGCTTAAGGGAGCTGTGAAACAATGTGAAATGTAACAATATTAGAATAGCAGGAGTGCCAGAAGAGGCAGAAAGGGAGAAAGGAATATAGAAGGTGTTTGAAGAAATAGAGGCAGAAAACTTCCCTAACCTGGTAAAGGAAAAAGTCACACAAGTTCAGGAGGCACAGAGAACCCCAAACAAGAAGAACTCAAACAGACCCACACCCACACACACCATAATTAAAATGTCAAAGAGAGAATCTTAAAGGCAGCAAGAGAAAAGAAAACTGTTACCTACAAAGGAGTTCCCATAAGGCTGACACCTGATTTCTCATCAGAAACTCTACAGGCCAGAAGGGAATAGCATGAAGTACTCAAGGTAATGGAAACCAAGGATCTCAGACCAATATTACTATATCCAGCAAGGTTATCATTCAAAATAGAAGGTCAAATAAAGAGGTTCCCAGACAAAAAAAGACTAAAGGAGCTCATCACCACCAAGCCAGGATTACAAGAAATGCTAAAGGGATTGCTGTAAGGGATTGCTGAGAAGAAGAAACAGAGAGAGAAACTGAGCCATACAGAATTAAAATGGCTATAAATAAGTACCTCTCAATAATAACCCTAAATGTAAATGGATTAAATGCTCCAATCAAAAGGCGTAGGGTAGCTGAATGGATACAAAAACATGACCCAACTATATGCTGTCTACAAGAGACCCACCTCAAAACAAAAGACACACACAGGAGGAAAGTGAAGAGATGGAATAAAATTTTCCATGCAAATGGCAAAGAAAAAAAAGCTGGAGCAGCAATACTCATATCCAACAAAATAGACTTTATAATGAAGGCCATCATAAGAGACAACAAAGGTCACTACATAATACTAAAGGGATCGATCCAACAAGAGGATATAATCCTGGTAAATATATATGCACCCAATATAAGTATACCTAAATATATAAAAACACTTCTAGAGGACTTAAATGGAGAGATTGACAACAACACAGTCATAATAGGGGACTTTAACACCACTCTGACTTCACTGGACAGATCTTCCAGAAAAAAACTTAACAAGGAAACAGAGACTTTAAAGGACACACTGGATCAGATGCATTTAATAGACATTTATAGAACATTTCACCCCAACGCAGCAGAATATACAATCTTCTCAAGTGCACATGGATCATTCACAAAGATAAACCACATGTTAGGATGCAAAACAAGTCTTTACAAGTTCAAGAAGATTGAAATCATATCAAGAATCTTCTCAGATCACAGTGGAATGAAATTAGAAATCAACTACAGTAAAAACACCCAAAAACATTCAAACAGATGGAGGCTAAATAGCATGTTATTAAACAATGAACAGTTTATCAATGAGATCAAGAAAGAAATAAAAAACTTCCTGGAAACACATGAAAATGAACACACAACAACCCCAAATCTCTGGGATACAGCAAAAGCAGTCCTGAGAGGGAAGTTGATAGCACTGCAGGCATACCTAAGAAAACAAGAAAAATCAGCAATAAACTATTTAACCCTACAACTTAAAGAACTAGAATGAGAACAACAAGAAAAGCCCAGAGTAAGTAGAAGGAAGGAAATAATAAAGATTAGAGCAGAAATAAATAACATAGAGACTAAAAAAATTCCAAAAAATCAATGAAACCGGGAGCTGATTCTTTGAAAGGCTAAACAAAATTGATAAACCATTAGCCAGACTTACCAAGAAACAAAGAGAGAGGACACAAATAAATAAAATCAGAAATGTAAGTGGAAAAATAACCACAGATGCCACAGAAATACAAAGGATTGTAAGAAAATACTATGAACAACTATATGCCAACAAACTGGACAATGTGGATGAAATAGAAAAATTCCTAGAAAAATACAACCTCCCAAAACTGCATCAGGAAGAATAAAAAAACCTGAATAGGCCAATAACAACCGATGAAATAGAAGCAGTAATCAAAACACTCCCACCAAACAAAAGCCTGGGTCAGGATGGCTTCACAGGGGAGTTTTTCCAAACATTTAAAGAAGAACTAACACCTATACTCTTCAAACTATTTCAGAAAATTCAAGAGGAAGGAACACGTCCAAACTCTTTTTATAAGGCCAGTATTATCCTAATTCCAAAACCAGATAAAGACACTACAAAGAAAGAGAATTACAGGCCAATATCCCTGATGAACATAGATGCTAAAATCCTCAATAAATATTAGCAAATCGCATCCAGCAATATATTAAAAAGTTCATACACCATGATCAAATATGATTTATTCTAGGGATGCAAGGCTGATACAATATTCACAAATCATAAACAAATTGAAAGACAAAAATCACATGATCATATCAATAGATATAGAGAAAGCATTGGACAAAATCCAACATCCATTTTTGATAAAAACTCTTAGCAAAATTGGAATAGAGGAAGCATATTTCAACATGATAAAGGTCATATGTGACAAACCTACAGCCAACATCATACTCAATGGGCAAAAACTAAATTCATTTACCCTAAGAACAGAACAAGACAGGGATGCCCACGTTCACTACTCCTGTTCAACATAGCAATGGAAGTGCTAGCCATAGCTATCAGAAAAGAAGAAGAAATAAAAGGTATCCAAACTGAAAAAGAAGAAGTAAAACTATCATTATTCGCAGATGACATGATTTTGTATATAGAAAACCACAAAGACTTTACCAAAAAATTACTAGACTTAATGAATGAATTTGATAATGTAGCAGGATACAAAATTAACACTCAGAAATATATGGCTTTTTTATATACCAAAAAATGAACTCACAGAAAGTGAAACTAAAAAAACAATTCCATTTACCATTGCACTAAAAAAAATTAAGATACCTAGGAATAAACTTAACTAAGGAGGTAAAACACTTATACTTGGAAAACTACAGAACATTGAAAAAAGATATAGAGGAAGACAGAAACAGATGGAAGAACATACCATGTTCACGGATTAGTAGAATCAACATCATTACATGTCCATACTACCCAAAGCAATTTATAGATTCAATACAATCCCCATTAAGATACCAATCGAATATTTCACAGACCTAGAACAAACTCTCCAAAAATTCATCTGGAATGAAAAAAGACCCTGAATAGCTGCAGCAATCCTGAGAAAGAAGAACAAAGTTGGAGGGATCACAATACCAGATATCAACCTATATTACAAAGCCACTGTTCTCAAAATTGCCTGGTACTGGCATAAGAACAGACATATAGACCAATGGAACAGAACAGAGAACCCAGAAATCGACCCAAGCCATTATGCTCAATTAATATTTGACAAAGAAGGCAAGAGCATATAATGGAGACAAGATAGTCTCTTCAATAAATGGTGTTGGGAAAATTGGAAAGATACATGCAAAAAAAAATGAAACTAGATCACCAACTTACACCATACACAAAAATAAACTCAAAATGGATAAAGGAACTAAACATAAGACAGGAAACCATAAAAATCTTAGAAGGATGCTGGGGTCCAACCCCAGGGGGTCCAGGGGTCCCCAAAGGTGTGGACGGAGTCGGCGAAGAAGGAATGACACGGAGACAGCCTTCAGTTGATCAGCAGCCTAGCCAGGATCTCTAGCCAGGATCTCCAGCCAAGTTCTGGTTAGGATCTGATTAGGAACTGATGAGGATCTGATGTTTATTGTCTTGTTACATCCGTATTTATACCAGCCGATTTTAATCCTGTCAATTTCTATTACAAAGGTTAGGGCGTTTCTTATCTCCATTCCAGGGAGTAAAGATTATGTAGCTTAACTACCCACCTGGCACTTAATTAAGGGGTTGTATCCCCTCCCTAACCTCAGGGAAAAATCCCCACCTGGGGAAACAACCTTTCTCGGAGAGGTGACCTTGGTTAAAACACATGGCACTAAGGAGAGCAAACATATTAAGAACAATATGCTATATATGCCAGGTCCCTTGAAACATATGCTGTGCAGATGTTTCTTTCCTGCAGCGACTGTGTCAAGCAGCAAGGATGGACCGGCTTCCGGCAAATGAATCCATGGGCAGCAAAATATCAGACATATGTCATAGAATTATCTTTACCAGTACAGCTCCTAGAGCAAGGGAAACTAAAGGGAAAATAAACAAATTGGACTACATTAAAATAAAAAACTTCTGCACAGCAAAAGAAACCATCAACAAAACAATAAGAAAGCCCACTGCATGGGAGAACAGATTTGCCAATGTTATATTCAATAAGGGTTTAATCTCCCAAATTTACAGGGAACTCACACAATTTAACAAAAGGAAGATAAACAAGCCAATCAAAAAGTGGGCAAAGGACCTAAATAGATACTTTTCGAAAGAGGACATAAATGAGGCTGAGAGACTTATGAAAACATGCTCAAAGTCACTAATCATCTGAGAGATGCAAATCAAAACAACAATGAGGTACCATCTCACACCTGTCAGAAAGGCTATCAACAAATCTACAAACAGCAGGTGCTGGCGAGGATGCAGAAAAAAAGGAACCCTCATGCACTGCTGGTGGGAATGCAGACTGGTGCAGCCACTGTGGAGAACAGTATGGAGTTTCCTCAAAATATTAAAAATGGAACTCCCATTTGACCCAATAATCCCACTCCTAGAAATATATCCCAAGAAATCAGAAACACCAATCAAAAAGGATATATGCACCCCTATGTTCATAGCTGCACAATTTACAACAGCTAAGAATTTGGAAACAGCCTAAGTGCCCATCAGCAGATGAGTGGATTAGAAAACTGTGCTACAACTACACAATGGAATACTACGCTGCTGTAAAAAGGAAGGAACTCCTACCATATGCAACAGCATGGATGGAACTGGAGAGCATCATGCAAAGTGAAATAAGCCAGTCAGAGAAAGATAAATATCACTTGATCTCACTCATTTGTGGCATACAATGAACAATATAAACTGATGAACAAAAATAGAGCCAGAGGAAAAAATATTTTAGAATATAATAGAAGTAATCCTGTTATTTGCAGAGTTTTAATAGTTCCTACAACTTTTCTGATATCATACTATGTTAGTACAGTTTTGGCAATATTATATTTAAAATCCTTTTTCTCTTGAAATATTAAAGTTTATTACATGTAATATTATTTATTTAAGATCAATTATCTTGAAAAAAATTAAAAATAGCACTGCCATATGGTCCAGCAATCCCACTTCAGGGTATTTATACAACAAAAATAAAAACACTAATTTAAAAAAAAAGATCTTTGGAAATCATATTCTAAAAACAAAAAAATTAATAAACAAAAACACATGAAAGATAAGAAGCTTAATAGTTTTGTAAAAACAACTGAAACTTGGATTAATATTCTTAATAACATTTGATACTACAAGCCAGTCAATTTTAAGGGATAAACCAATAGACTCCAATATCCTGAGTGTCTGGGAGGAACTGACTGTATGACTATGTCTATTCATGAGTGAGATAATAATACATTTTACTGAACAATCTCATCTTCAAAGGAAACAATTTCATTTTTAAAGTTTCATTAACAATTGGAATGAACAATTTGTATGGAAATCATTGCTTTTTAGGTAGGTAATTCTTTAAAAAGATATACCACAATTTTACCAAAATTTTGCATTTTTGAAATGTTTATTAGACTTGGGACGTTTATGTTCATAGACGAGATCGTTTTTTTCTTGAATATCTCAGTTAAAAGAAAGCCCCTATTATTTAAAAGAAATTCTACCCTTCATCTCCCCACAAAAAAAACATCAAACTAACAAACAACAGAAAAACCATATCAGAAAACATTTTTATGTCATGTACCTTCTTTGTCATCATGGTGGATAATTGCATCCTGAATCATGTCAGCAAGGTTAAAATGCACTTTCTGGTTCTTGCCATGCTTCAGTTTTTTCAGGACTCCTTCCTGCTTCTGAAAAGCCTTCTCTCTTTCATAGTAGGCTTTGATTTGTTCACAGCGCATGCGTTTCACCAGCCGCTGCCTTTGGCCAAGGGGAAGGGTCTCCAGCAAGCACTGGTCAATTTCCATTTCATGGGATCGGAAAACATTACATAGCTGAAAGCAACCTGAAAGAAACGAAATGGGAAAGTCACTAGACCCATTATTACAACAAATATAGTAGCATTACAGAACATATTTGATTTCCTGTTACCATCACACAAGTCAGAAATTCATTCATTCCTCTGGAAGAAAAACAAAGAGTTAATATATTTTTCCCCTCTTTTTTTAGAGTTAATATCTTACTTAAGATGGCACCGTGATTGCCTGGCAGAGAGGGTGTGGAGGAGGTGGAGGAGGATATAGGAGGGATAAAGGATGATGGACACATACTTGACTTAGGGTGGTAAACACACAATACAGTATACATATGATGTGTTGTGGAATTGTGCACCTGAGACCTATGTAATTTTGTTAACCAGTGTTATCCCAATAAATTCAATAAAAAGAAACAAAGATTGCATGATAATAAAATAAAATTTTTAAAAGAATTAGATATAGAGGTGTGGTTTTGTTTAATACTTCACAATCCGTGTTTTCTTATTTCTTTAAAGCTACACCAAAGCCCTAAAAGTATTACCACTGCATTATGGTCCTTCATCTAGCTGAATATGCTGATTAAACTTTATGTGATACATTTTGGCAGAAAGCCATTCTAAGTCTTTCAGCACAACCTAATAAAATTGGTTTTGCATATCCTGGTGACTCTGCTATTCTAATGTAATAGACTATATGTAAGCTATAAATTGTTTATATAGAACATAGGTATGCTATCATTGTTAAATGACACAATGATCATTTTTCACCAATTTATTGATAAACACATTTCCTAGTGATTGGTAAACATTCATTTCTAAAAAACCTAACAATGGTTAAGTATACTTTGGAGCAATGGAATGGAGATTTTGCTCTTGGCAACTCAAAATCATGAATATAACTAGTGCTGTTATATACTTTCTCTTATTCATATTTTGATTAACAAACTGAGTTCTCTGTCCTGTTAATGAAAATATTCACTTTCTTTCCAGATGCTATTTCCTAAAACTCCACCCAAAACACCTGTAATGGAATTGTACTAACTCATATATTTACCACTTGGTAAAATTTTACTATTGGCAGAAAATTAATGTTAAAGCACTGTAAGTTCTAGAATCTGGTTCACAAGTACAGGTTCAGATATGCGTTTATATGTTCTTCTCTTGACATATCTATGATGTAAGTCTCAAGCAAGTAAAAGTAACTAGGCATGCATAAAGATGTGGTTCATCATATGCCATATCTGGAAATATGCAGTTAGGACAGTGCTACCTCATCTTTGGAAAGGTGCTCTATTCCTTTGAAAGCAGCAAGTTGTGATGCTATTTCAACTTCTGTTTCACTTGATGCTTTGCAAAGTGTTATTCTCACAGCCAATAGGTAAGACCATCCTTATGTTGCAAGTAAACTAAGTTGAGAGAGGCTGTGACTTGTCTAAGACCAAAGAGATTTTATGACAGTCGTAAATAGTCCAAAAAGGCTCAAAAAAATAAAAGACAGGGGTTCTCTGCAGTCATGTATTTAATACATATGAAAGAGGGGAGAGATTACGCATTGGAGAATTTCGTTTTGGTTGTTTTTTTAGCATTTGACAACATTTTACCATCATATGTTTTCATAAAACTCTTAATAAGTATTTGTAAGAGTGATGTTAGGATTACCAGATAACCACAAATAAACTATCCCTTTCCAATGACCTAAACACAAAGAGACAACAGCGATTCTGAAATGATAACAAATTTCTCCATGTATGTTTCTTTGATAAAAACCATGATCACTGCCACAAGCAGACTGTGAGAATTCATTAATAATGGATGGGAAACATCTTCTGATTTCAAATCTGTTTAGAAAATTGCACCAAGTTTGATTCACTGACTTGGATTCTCAAGACACTTGGACTTCCATGACCTTCCTGGGTTGACAGCAGGTGCCGAGGGAATCTTTGGAACCACTGGAAATCCTAACAAGGTCAAACCAATGACATTGCAGTGTCATGTACTGAGTAGCACACAGTCAAAAGCGGAGGGTGATTTTACAGTAGACAATTTCAAAGTTGATTGTAGCCAAATTTATCTTTCTCTTTGAGTTTTTGTGTTAGACATCATTACTGAAAACCCATCTGTATTCCAAGTCACTGAAAATGAGTGTTGGTAGTCCTATTGTTTCAGCTTTTACAATCAAATCTCCTGTGCACCTAGAATTATAAACACAACAGTCCTCTAGTTTTTAACTCTGAAGTAATGTTTATGGAGTGTGCAGTGATAACGCATGAGTCATTGAGCAACCCACTCAAGCTGTCCAAAAGGAGCACAGAGAGTAGTTCATAAATTAATCTCCTTATGGTTTGGAAAATCAGAAGATAAGGCTGTTACATTTCAAATCCATACATGATAAAAGATTGATCTTTAATAGATTTCCATGTTAAATAATTCCTCATTCTTTGATTTTAAATGGCATTGATGTATCGGGTACTGAAACTTGTTTTGTCTAATTATTAGTGGATAAGCTATCTTTGTATATGTGCTGCTGTCAATCTATAAGACAGTCACTAAATATAACAAAGTTATAGGAAACATACTTTTGAATCAGTCTAGTCAAAACTTATTGAACTTCATTACTGGGGCACTAAGATGAAAATGATCTCAACTCATTTTGGAGATTAGCATAAACTTGCTATCAAAACCAAGTGAGGACATCACTACAAAAAGGGAGTTACAGATCAATCTCATTTATAATTACACATGCAGGTGGTCTACAGGAATATTAGCTAAATGAACCCAGGAGTGTGCAATTCGTTCATGGTGTGAAAGAATGGCTTATTTTAGAACACCTATGAATGTATGACACTTCTTTAAATTCTGCTTCAAATTTAGAAAGGAAGGCTTCTATCTTACCTCATTATGAAGGTTTTAGTCAACATAGGGGGAAAAGTAAAAGAAATAAGGGCCAGAAGGGTAGAAGGAGGAAAATAATTAGTTAACATTGTAAATACTGTGTTAGACATATGGAAAAAACAGCACCCTCTATGACTCAGCTATTAGAACTGATAGTCCAGAATCTTGCTCAACACAAATCAATACACACACAGAAGCCACATTTTCAAACCTAACAATAGAAGCAGAGTCTCACTAATGTATAGAAAAAATTAAAGATATAATCTCATACTCATTTGAATGAAAAAGATAATAAGTGTTATAATATTGGAAAAACGTAGTTAAATTTAAGATGTATCTCTCCCACATCTACCTATGAATTCTACAAAACTTTTGCAGATAAAAATAAACAAATACAAAATAATCTAGCATGTAATGAAAAAGATTAGGAGTAACAAAAACCAACTTTATAAATGATCCATTCACTTATTTTTGAAGGAAATGAGTATGTTTTGTCAATTATCTCTTCAATACTTTCTGTTCCTGGCATTGGTAGAAGAATAGACATTTAGATTAATGGTACAGAATAAAGAACCTAGAATTAGCTCCACATAAATACAGCCAACTCGTTTGTGACACAAGTGTAAAAGCAAGTCAATGAGGATAGTCTTTTCAACAAATGATGCTGTAGTAGTGTCACATCCATGTTTCTCTCCCCATCCCCGCCCTTCCATATTCTCTAAAAGCAATGAAAAAATATCCTCAGGTGAGGATTAAAAAATTAATTACATTAGTGATATTACCAAATACTGGTGACGATGTAGAGAAGCTGGATCCCTCACCCTCATAGTGGGTATGTAAACTAGCACAGCCATTCAAGGAAACAGTTTGCCAGTGTCTCTCAATAACCGCATTATGTATTCATCCTGCTAGGTGAGATTATGTGGCATAAGACTATAAAACTCACAGATGAAAAAATAGATATTTCATGACATTGGACTTAGTAATGATTTCTTGGATAAGACACCAAAAGCACAGGCAATAAGCATAAATAGACAAACGGGACTAACTAAAAAAACTTTTGTACATTAAAGAACACAGTCAACAGAGTAAAAAGGCAACCTATAGAATGGGAGAAAATATTTGTAAACCATATATCTGAGAAGGGGTTAGTATCCAAATATATAAAAAGCTCTCACAACTCAACAATAAAAATAGCAATAACAAAATTTAAAAATGGGCAAAGGACTTGAATAGTTGTTTCTCTAAAGATGATATACAAATGCCCAAGTACATAGCAAGATGCTCAAAATCACTAGTCATCAGTGAAATGCAAATAAAAACTGCAGTAAGCCATCGCCTCACACCCATTAGAATGACTACTACAGGGGGAAAATACCACTCAGAAAGTAAGAAATATTGGGAACCCTTTGGAATGTTGGTGGAATTGTAAAATGTTTCAACCACTATAGAAAACAGTTCTTCCAAAAAATAAAAATAGAACTACTTCAGGATCTAGAAATCCCACTTCTAGGTACATACCCAAAATAACTGAAAACAGGATCCCAAAGAATCATTTACCTACCTATGTTCACTGCAGCATAGTTCACAGTGGCCAAGAGTTGGAGGAAACTAAATGTCATCACTGGATGACTGGTTAAACAAAATAGTGCATATACATACCTTTACAATGGAATATTATTATATCTTAAAAAGGAAGGAAATCCTATCACATGATATAACACAGATGAACACTGAGGACATGCTAAATGAAATCAATCAGTAACAAATAGACAAATACTGAATGATTCCACTTATATGAGGTATCTACTTAGTCAAATTCATAGAAACAATTTAGAATTGTGGTTGCTAGGGGGCTGGACAGAGAAAGTGAGAGTTGTTGTTTAATGAGTATAGAGTATCCGATTTTAAAGGTAAAAAAGATCTGGAGATCTGTGTCAAAACAATGTGATGTGTTTAATACCATTGAACTGTACATTTAAAAATGGATAACTAATAAATGTTATGTGTTTTGCCACAATAAAAAAGTGTGGGTAAGATAGGGGGCTGCATCACAGGGGTTTTAAAAAGATACACACAGAGTTTTATTTAATGGAAAATGTATCTGCCAACATATTGTTTATCCGACTTTATAAAAA